TGATCTCTTAAAGGCCTGAGCCATTAAGACATTTTTAACAGCTCCAGGAAAAGTCTGCCTTTATTCAGACGTCAGGTGCATTTTCTCAGAGGTCCAGGTCTCCATACGGCCACTGCGTTCATTGAGAAGCACCTCCCCCAAGTGCAAAATATTAGGCTTTGGGCCAAGGAAACTGGAAAGCTCTTTTCTAGTTTAATTCTCACTAATTGCGTTCTTTTAAAATCGGTGATTATGTTTAATCTGAGGAGGATGCCACAGTCACAGAAGTATCTGGTTTATATCATTCTGCCATAACTTAGGTTGGGCTTAGTTTATGACAGCCGTGTCTCCTAGATCATCAGAGAAAGTTTCCAGGAAAAGATAGATCTTGAATTGATTGTGGAGGAAGAAAACAAAGAAGAAGAAGGCACGAAGTTGGCGGATATAAAATACGTATTACTCTAAGCCTTTTAAGTTTATGGGATGATCGTGAAATTTAATATGGAGGGAAATAAATCTTTGATGTTCTTTGGATCAGGAAAATATTGATATCATCAAGACGAAGGATATATTAACTCTACCCAGGCAAGTATTTTGTTAGCAGTATGCTCTAACCAGCTGAGCTAACTGGCTACATTATACCAGGCAGGCATTTTAAAATAAAAATTTTAATTGATACCTTTTCTTTTGGATAAAGTAAATAAAATCAGAGAGATACTATCTAAAATATTTAAGATGCAAGATGAAGTGAGCCACCCAGAAGAAAAATTAAAAACAAAATATTTTAGAGAATATGTACCTATCAAATTATGTAACCTATTACATATAAGTAAATGAGCTTAGATGGTTGGGCATGATGGCTCACGTCTATAATCCCAGCACTTTGGGAAGCTGAGGCAGGAGGATTGCTTGAGCCCAGGAGTTCAAGACCAGCCTGGGCAACATGGTGAAATCTCATCTCTATCTTTTTTTTTTTTTTTTTTTTTTTTGAGACAGAGTCTCGCTTTATTGTTCAGGCTGGAGTGCAGTGGTGTTATCGTGGCTCACTGCAACCTCCACCTTCTGGGTTCAGGCGATTCTCCTGTCTCAGCCTCCTGAGTAGCTGGGATTATGGCACCCACTAACACACCCGGCTATTTTTTTTGTATTTTTAGTAGAGACAGGGTTTCACCATCTTGGCCAGGCTGGTCCTGAACTCCTGACTTCAAGTGATCCACCTGCCTTGGCCTCCCAAAGTGCGGGATTTCAGGTGTGAGCCACCATGCCTGGCCATCTCATCTCCATTAACAGCAACAACAAAAAAATTAATGAGTTTAGATCTTCAAATAATACTTGTCAAATTGAGTAATTGAGTACAATATGTTAACCATACATAGTTTTATGTTTTATTTTATTATTTATTTATTTATTTAGATAGGGTCTCACTGTCACCCAGGCTAGAGTGCAGTGGCATGATCCTAGCTCACTGCAGCCTTGAACTCCTGGGCTCAGGGGATCCTCCTGCCTCCTGAATACCTGGGAAAATCTATTTTTAAAAGCAGGTTCCTCATGGATCTCTACTTAGAGAGTTCACAGTTTTTAGCTTTATGTGAATTGCTGCATAAACGTGAAATAAATCCAATTGTATTTTCACAAAAGTATTCCATAGCCTGGGAGCGGTGGCTCATTCCTATCATCCCAGCACTTTGGGAGGCGAGGCCAAAGCGGGTGGATTGCTTGAGCCCAGAAGTTTAAGACCAGCCTGGGCAACATAGCAAAACCCTGTCTCTACAAAAAATACCAAATTAGCTGGGCATAGTGGGGTGCACTTGTGGTCCCAGCTACTTGGGAGGCTGAGGTGGGAGGATAGCGTAAGCCACTGCACTCTAGCCTGGGTGATGGAGTGAGACCTTGTCTCAAAAAAAAGTATTCTTTAATTTTATAAAATTATGTTTTTGTATTTTTCAGGATTAATTTTTCCTGTATTGGTTTCTTATGGTGCATGTTATGCATGTTATGGCTTCCCCTGCTCCCCAGAGAACATCTCTTTGTCCACAGCTTCCCACAGAGGAAGCAGGCAGATGTGACCAAGTCTGTCCCACAGAACCAAGCCAGGCACAGCTGAGAGGACCAGTGGTGTGTGCTGGACCCAAGGGTAACCAATCCACAGGCTGATTCAACCTAAAAGAAAGGCTGAATTATGGCATGGGAGAGAATCAGTCAGCTGGCGGTGGGCAGATAAGTGAAAATCCCCACAAAAAGAAGCAGAGTAAGTGTAGAAGTGACCGCGGGAGACAGCAAGCCTCTCCCAGTTCCTGACTGTTTACTCTCCATCAGGCCAGCCGAGAGGCTGTACTGTGTATCCTGAGGAAGTTTTGTTTCCCTGTCATATGTAACTTTAAAGTAAAACTCCAAGCTGGGCGTGGTGGCTCACGCCTGTAATCCCAGCACTTTGGGATGCTGAGGCGGGTGGATCATGAAGTCAAGAGATCAAGACCATCCTGGCCAACATGGTAAAACTCTGTCTTTACTAAAAATACAAAAATTAGCTGGGTGTGGTGGCATGCACCTGTAGTCCCAGCTACTCAGGAGGCTGAGGCAGGAGAATCGCTTGAACCCGGGAGATGGAGGTTGCAGTGAGATGAGATCACGCCACTGCACTCCAGCCTGGCTGACAGAGTGAGACTCCGTCTCAAAAAAACAAAACAAAACAAACTTCATTCCTGAAACAGCTTGAATGAGACACTTGCAACCTATAACCCCCCAAATCTAACTAATATGGAGTCTAAAGTTAGATAAAATTGTGGTGTAAATTTCAGAGGCAGTTTGCTAAAAAGAGGTTCAATGTTAACCTTCATCAATTTTAGAAAAAAACATTTTGGGAGACAACATTAGGCCCTTGTATGTGGCTTCAGTGGGTTTTTAAAAATTTGTTGACCTACTCTACAGAAACATCTCCTGCTTGCAAAACAAAACAAAATTATGTTGAAGGTATCATTTTTACAATTATTAGGATAAACACCAGGAAGATCTGTTATAATAGTGTTCTTTCAGAACAGGTGGAAGTTTGCTGGCTTGTTTCTACCCCTCAAATTAGGGTCTTCATGTGGATGCCACCTAATCTATAGACCAAAGCATTCCTTAATGCTTAAACATTTTTTCTCCGTTTTTCATTATCAATAAGGGCAGTAGGTCAAACGTTTTGGTCATTTACCTGGGTCCTGGGTTGTCCTGATGATATTGCTTATGGCACAGATTTTGAAAAAGAGCAGCTAATTTTAGTGCAGCAGAAAAATATATGAAAGTGTTGGAACAGGTTGGGCACGGTGGCTCATGCCTGTAATCCTAGGACTTTGGGATGCTGAGGTGGGTGGATCACTTGAGGTCAGGGGTTCAAGACCAGCCTGGCCAACATGGTGAAACCCCATTTCTACTGGAAAAAAAAAAAGTTAGCTGGATGTGGTGGTGGGCGCCTGTAGTCCCAGCTACTCAGGAGGCTGAGGCAGGAGAATCACTTGAACCCAGGAGGCAGGAGGTGGAGGTTGCAGTGAGCCGAGATCACACCACTGAACTCCGTCCTGGGTGACAGAGCAAGACTCCTCTCAGGAAAAAGAAAAAAAAGAAAACGTTGGAACATTGTGTAGAGATGAGCACTAGGTAGGGGTTTGGAAACCTGGATTCTGGTCTTGATTCTAGTGCTTAACAAGCCACGTTATATGGGGCAAGTCCCTTCTCTCTATCTGTAAAAACAAAGGAACTGTGTTCCTGAAATTCTCTGCATTGTATGATCTTCCACAACAAAAATGCAAGCTCTGCTAAAGCAGTGTCGTACGCCTTGTCTGGGACTGAGTCCTAGAATGGTTCCTGGTACCTTGCAGATCTCAGGAAATATTTATTGCTATTGAACAACTCATGCTGTCCATTGGCCATAAAAAAGGCTCTCTTGCATGTATAAAGCCGTAGTTATTTTTCAAAAGGCTTTCAGTTAGCAGGCACTCAACACTTATGGGTCTGAAATATTTCATTGGTTCTCAAGGGGAACACACCTTACTTGCTCATACAGAAATACGGGCATGGAGGAGCCTAGTGGATGGGGAAGAAGACAGGCCTAGGAGTCAGAAAATCTGGCTCATCACTAATGACTGTGTGGCTTTGGGTAAGTCATTCTGTTCTCCGAAGTTCTGTTCTCTCATCTGCAAGGTGGGAGGGCTGACTCAGACCCCAGGACCCTTCTGGAGGCACACCTCTGACTCTGGTCCTCTTATTCTTGTAATAGATAACAAACAAGTATTAAAGGCAGATGAAAGGATTGAGAAGAATGTGGGGCTGATGAGAATGTGGGGCTGATGAGGAACAAAGGCAAGACAATTAGCGCAGAGGCACCAGCTCATTAGAGACATCAAGACAGGCAGACTATGCTTTTTATGTTCACCACGTAAAATCCTTTATGAGCATCTGCTGGGGTGGCTCTTCCTTTGCTGTTACTGGCTCAGCAAACAGTTCGTGCCCTCAGCCATGTCTGCTGCCCAAGTAGCTGTCACAGGGAGGTAGCACCAGGACAGGAAGCCTGCCAGCTTGCAAGTCCATGGCAATGTCTGTGTTCATTAAACAGCCCAATAGTGGTGACCCTGAGGATTCGGCTTTAACTTTTGTAGACAATTCTGGGCCTGTCATATTTTGAGTTCCTTTACAAAAAAATTACTGGATACCTCACACTTGTTAGGATGACCACTGTAAACCAGAAACAGAAACACTCCAGGAAATAACAAATGTTGGTGAGGATGTGGAGAACGTGGAACTCTGTGCATTGTTGATGAGAGTGTAAAATGCTGTAGCCACTGTGGAAACAGTGTGGAAGTTCCTCAAAAAATTAAAAATAGAATTATCATATGATCCAGCAATCCCTCTTCTGGATATACACCAAAATAACTGAAAGCAGGATTTCAAAGAGATTTTTGCACATCTATGTTCATTGCAGCACTATTCACAATAGCCAAGAGGTGAAAGCAATCCCAAATGTCCACTGACAGATAAATAGATAAAGAAAAGGTGGTATAGACATACAATGGAATATTGTTCAACCCTAGAAAAGGAGATCCTGTGACATGTTACAACATGTGACATGGACCTTGAGGACATTATGCTAGGAAAGATAAGCCAGTCACAAAAAGACGAATACTATGACATAAGGTATCTAAGTAGTCAAACTCACAGAAACCAGAAGTAGAATGGTGGCTGTCAGGGGCTGGAGGGAGCTGTTCGATGGAATGAGAATCTCAGTTTTGCAAGATGAAAAAGCTCTAGAGAATTCACAACAGTGTGAATATGATTAACACTACTGAACTGTACACTTAAACGTGGTTGAGATGGTGAAGTTTATGTTCTGTGTTTTTTAGCACAATTTAAAAATTGACCAGACACGTAACCCAGTAGTAAGCTGCTACTAACCTCCTTGTCACATTAGAATACCCTTAATTTCTCCAGACAGGGTCTTTTAGTTCTGTGAATAAGAGGCACCAATTCTTTCTAGCGTTGCTAAGAAAGGGAATTTTGCAGTTGCATGAATGAAGAAAGAGACACAGTCAAGGTAGGGTGGCCAGCAAGATTGTAATTATGCTCAAAAGGGTGGTCTTCTGGTGGAGGGTCCATGTGGATGGAGGGGTTAGGAAACAGAAGAGGGGATGTTCTGACTCTTCATTGGCAGCGTGGCTCTGTGGGCCCGGGTGGCCTATCAGGGCTATACTACCCAGGATGGTCGGCTGGGTTTTCTCTACTCGTGTTTCCTGTAGATTTATACTCCTGCATCTTGCTGGGGGCTTAGTTTGGCCCATGGGATGAAACACTCTTGTGTGGGATCAACAGTCTGGAAAGGAAGAAATGCCATCATCAACTTCCTGACCAACAAAAGAAAAGATACTCTCCAAAGTTATATTTTTGTTTTTGGAGACAGAGTCTTGCTCTGTCACCCAGGCTGGAGTGCAGTAGTGCGATCTGGGCTCACGTCAATCTCTGCCTCACAGGTTCAAGCAGTTCTCCTGCTTCAGCCTTCTGAGTAACTGGAATTACAGGCATGCACCACCATGCTCAGATAATTTTGTATTTTTAGTAGAGATGAGGTTTCACCATTTTGGCCAGGCTGGTCTTGAACACTTGACCTCAAGTGATCCGCCCACTTCAACCTCCCGAAGTGCTGGGATTACAGGCATGAACCACTGTGCCCAGCCCTAAAGTCATGTTTAAAGTATTATTACCTCACCTTCATTTAACTGTCAACAACAAAAGAAGAAACATACTGAGCCTACCTGTACCAGGCTATCCCTCAGCCATGAACAAGAATCTTTTTGCAAGCAAGGTTCTTGAATAGCTGATCACTGGAAATGGAAATGAATCAAGAAACTCTTGGAGGGATAATAAAGATGTTTTCATTATGTAAATACCCTCCTGAGGGTTGATTAAAGCACATGATACAGCTATGGCCTGGTCCATGTACCATTCTAGGAAAAGGCAAATTCTCAGATAACATACCAGAGGGATTAGCTTAGTTAGTGGCCTCATAAATTAATTGAAAAAATGATTTTAGTTACTTTTGATCCCCGTAATGTAAGAATTGTGTCCCAGTGTGATATTTCTGGCTATTTAGGTTTGTATGTCTTCAAGTCTTCACAGCCCCAATGTGAATTACCCCTAAACTACTCAGCAGTGCTCCCTCTGTTTTTGCCTGAAAGGATTAAAATTTGTTCATCCATCTGGGCATCCAGACGATGGTGACAGACCCTGCCCAGTTCTTAGGGCAGCCTGGGCTGCTGGAGCTAGACAGGGACTCAGAGAGGCAGTCAGTGGGGATCAGGTGATAGGTTCAGACAATCGCTACTAAAAGCAGACCCTGCACTCAGACATATTTACAATCCTGTATTGTCCCCGAGGCAAAATTCGGTGAGCCTGCTGCTCTTCACCTTCACACAAAAACTTCAAGCTGCCCTTTCTTTCCAGACACATGCACTTGCATCAGAATGCTATATTGTTGCTGGTGATGAAGACTGGGAAGGTTCGGGTGAAGGCTGTCTTGCGCCACCTGGTCTGGCTTAAATCTGGGTGGCTCAAGCTCCACATGCCTTTAGGGATGCTCCTGCCCTGCCTCTCCTCTCTCAGGTCAGTAAAGCCATTAGAAATGAAGCCTGAGGCTGTCCTAAGGAAGGAGTGCTTGCTAGGTCCCTCCTGGGTGAATGTAGGCGAGTCCATTTACCTGCGGCTGAATGGGAGTACCAAATGAAGTTAATGCTACATCCTCCTCAGCTCCATCACTGTCTCGGGCTGAAAGCCAAAGGAGGGAAGGGCTGCGTTAGTGTCCAAGAGTCAATCGGAAACAGCACATGAGGACTACAGGAAAACCCCACGGCTTGCAAACAGGCTCTTCACTCTTTAAAAAGGAATTCTGAGGCCGGGTACGGCGGCTCACACCTGTAATCCCAGCACTTTGGGAGGCCAAGACGGGCAGATCACTTGAGGTCAGGAGTTCGAGACTAACCTGGCCAACATGGTGAAACCCTATCTCTACTAAAAATACAAAAATTAGCCCAGCGTGGTGGTGGGCGCCTGTAATCCCAGCAACTTGGGAGGCTGAGGCCAGAGAATTGCTTGAACCCGGGAGGTGGAGGTTGTAGTGAGCTGAGATCGTGCCGCCGCACTCCAGCCTGGGCAACACAGCGAGACTAAATAAATAAATAAGAGGAATTCTCAGTGGTGGCCGTTATTGAAAAAGTTTATGATTTAAAGGAGTGCATTTAAAGTTGATGTGGAAGGCATGGGTAGCGAGTGGGTGTTTAGGAGAAGCACACTGGTGTCAGAAGCTCACTAGCTCCGAGTCAGTTTCTGCTCTTTCAGTATTACCTGTGTGACCTTGGGCAGCTCACTCTTTTCAACAGTCCCTTTAGGCTTGATTCTCTACAAACTTGAATTCACTATTTCAAAAAAATTTTTATTTTGCCCAGGCTGGTCTTAAATACCTGGCCTCAAACCTCCCACCTGGGCCTCCCAAAGTGCTGGGATTACAGGTCTGAGCCACCACATCTGGCCTGAATTCAATTTTTAAAACTGGACATAATAAAAGAGATCACTTGAGACAACTTTATATTGTTGTAGGATCATCACAGACATAGGTATTTGTTTAATGGCTGTCTCCTGAACCAGCCTGTAAGCTCTGTGAAGACATGAGCTGTGCCTGTCTCTAAGAGCAGGCACTTGCTGGATACCTAGTTGTTTTTTGATGACCACAGACATAACTGTGTTAGGAAGGTTCACACTTAGGGGTTTCATGTTGAGTGGATGGACCCTGGAGAAGGACTGCTTGGCTCTCTCACTTGTGTTCTTTAATCTTTTTTGCCTTTTTTTGGCTTTGTTTCCTGATGGAACTAAAGAAGAATAATGACAGTCATAACAGTAAGTCTATCTCATAGGATTGTTTTGAAGATTCTATAAAAATGTTATATAAAGTCCTTGGAACAGGGTATGCTACATAGAAAACACTCATGAGCTATCCTTTGTATATGATTATTGGTGGTGGTGCTGGTGCTGCAGTTATAACAGATGCTCTGACATCCTCTTCCTAGTGGCTTTTTATTTATTTTTTCAAGGGGCTGATGCTGTGATACATGAAATGCTTATCTTTCCTTCATGGCAGAATTAACTGAATCCTTGGCTCAACTTCATTCCTTGTGTCCTAACACAAGGCTCCTTCACACTCAGTCTCTTGGGAACCAACTTTCATCCAACATTCTCATCAAACCGGATCATCAGTTAGAAAAGCCTAATTCGGCCGGGCGCGGTGGCTCAAGCCTGTAATCTCAGCACTTTGGGAGGCCGAGGCAGGCGGATCACGAGGTCAGGAGATCGAGACCATCCTGGCTAACACGGTGGAACCCCGTCTCTACTAAAAATACAAAAAAACTAGCCGAGCGAGGTGGCGGGCGCCTGTAGTCCCAGCTACTCAGGAGGCTGAGGCAGGAGAATGGCGTGAACCCGGGAGGCGGAGCTTGCAGTGAGCTGAGATCCGGCCACTGCACTCCAGCCTGGGCCACAGAGCGAGACTCCGTCTCAAAAAAAAAAAGAAAAAAAAAAAGAAAGAAAAAGAAAAGCCTAATTCTTCCAGCTCTAGCTATAGTTCATGAGTTTACCAAAAGGCCAAGTGTTTTTTTAATACCAAACCTGCACCCCTGTGTGATAGGAAATCTGAAGTGAGTAAGACCTTCCATTTATCTGAGGAGGAGGCAGGGAGGGACGTGATGAGCAGCATTTAAAGATGAGGAAAGGGAGGCTCCTAGGGCTTGAGGACCTTGGTTTGGTCTCAAGGTTGGTAAGAAGCAGAGTCTCAGAGCCTGGGCACATGAGGCCCGGTTCTGCACTCTTTCCACTGCCCTTTGCTGCCCAATGATGCTCTCGCTCCCTGAATTTGTTTTTTAAAATTTAAATTTTATTTTTTTTAAGAGTGTGTAGTGGTGCAATCATAGCTTACTGCAACCTTGAACTCCTGGACTCAAGTGACCCTCCCATCTCACAGTCTCCTGAGTACCTAGGACCACAGGTGTGTGCCACTATATCCAGCTAAGCTCTCTGAATCTTTATGAATGTCATCATCCTTGACTTATCTGTCCTCAGACCAAACAAATCCTGCCTATGACCCCACTGCCTTCTTCCCTGCTTTAAGCTAGTTCTCTCTCTGTGGCCTGTAACTTGAGGGTGACAAAAAAGAACTTCCCATGAAAGAACAAACAAAAATGACACCACCTGGGACCATTTAAGTTGGATTTCCCCTGGTAAGGTGAGTGGGCCTTGAAGAAAAAAATGTTGAGAATTGTCAAAAAGGGCTATATTCAGCAGAAGTTGGAGTTTGCTAGGGAAACAACCAGAAGGGCTTATGTTTGCAGGAACAGTGTTCTCTTGGCTTATCTCGTTTTATACTCGTTGACCCATTTTTACATTATGCACACTCACTGATTATCTAATGCCTTCAAAAAGAATCATATGAGGTTTGTCTGTAAGCATCCAAACACTGGATGGAAAAATGCCCACATTAATGTGACTCCTTCCTTCTTTCCTTCTTTCTTTCCTTCCTTCCTTCCTTCCTTCCTTCCTTCCTTCCTTCCTTCCTTTCCTTGCCTTCTTCCTTCGCTTTCTATTCTTTTCTTTTCTTTTCTTTTCTTTCTTTTTTTTAGATGGAGTTTTGTTCTCATTGCCCAGGCTGGAGTGCAATGCATGATCTCAACTCACTGCAACCACCACCTCCCGGGTTCAAGTGATTCTCCTGCCTCAGCCTCCCAAGTAGCTGGAATTACAGGTGCCCAAGACCATGCCCAGCTAATTTTTTGTATTTTTAGTAGAGATAGGGTTTCACCATGTTGGCTAGGCCGATCTTGAACTCCTGACCTCAGGTGATCCACCCTCCTCGGCCTCCCAAAATGTTGGGATCACAGGCGTGAGCCACCGCGCCCGGCCAACACTTTCAAATACAGATGGGTCTTAGTGTTAGCAAATATGATATATCGATATTCTAGTTAGTCTAAAACAGATAAGGCAGGCAATAATTAGAAGTTTTCCACTCATAAAACAATTCATAGCTGATATTCTACTCTATTTAAGATTTCTGCTCTTTATATCACATTTAAGATTCCTCAATTAAAAGACCTAGTGATTTTATTCTAATTATTTATTTTGGAGGTTACTTATCATTTATTCAGGAAGAGAAATATTCCAAAATTTACCAACTCCAAATTAAATATAAAACAAGTATTATATTCATCAACTAATTAATGAAGAATATGTTAAAAAATAACATAATCCCAGGAGCATGTAAATGGAAAGTAGTTAAACATAAAAATAGTTTCAGAATTATGTCTCTATTTTATTTTGCATTTTAATTGCTTCATTTCTTATACACAAATTCTTTACCCTAATCTTTTTGTTGCAGTTTCCTGTACCTAACAAGATGCTGAGCGTGTTAAATTTCAATCAAATGCTGTGAGAAGATGTATCTATATTTTTGGCTTAAGATTTTAGTTGAGGCCAACTGATTTTTAAAAGTCCAATCAGTATTCAGCTTCTCAGGGACACACTTATAACATAGAGCAAATAATATTTATACCCATTTTTCTGGTGTCCTACAGTAATACGCCTGATTGCATTTTCATTCTCTATCCAGATGTTTTTGTATCTTAAAATTAAGTCCATAATCCACTTCAGAGGAATAAAGCCTAATCTTCTTTAGAAAGACTTCCAGGGAAATGAAATTCTTAATCCCCTTTGCTGATCTGTTTCTGTCTACTGACTCTTATTTTCGTATTTAATCTAAATCTCTCATGCCTCCGCATCCATTTCCACCCACTATCTTTAGTTGGAGATGGAAAACAATAAGACAACTGCCTCTTGGGGAGAGGTCTTCACACTTGTGAAATTTTCTTTCTTTCTTTCTTTCTTTTTTTTTTTTTTTTTGAGACAGAGCCTTGCTCTGTTGCCCACGCTGGAGAGCAGTGGTGCGATCTCGGCTCACTGCAACCTCCGCCTCCCAGGTTCAAGCAATTCTCGTGCCTCAGCCTCTTGAGTAGCTGGGATTACAGGCATGTGCCACAATGCCCAACTAATTCTGGTATTTTTAAAAGAGATGGGGTTTTACCACGTTGGACAGGCTAGTCTCTAACTCCTGACCTCAGGTGATCCGTCTGCATTGGCCTCCCAAAATGCTGGGATTGCAGGTGTGAGCCACTGAGCCTGGCCATACTTGTGAAATTTCCAGCTAGGGACCTCTTGTCCTACTCTTCTTTTAGCTGAATAATTCTGGTCTTATAACCCAGTGGTAAATTAAATAATTATGTGACTGGAATCACAGCTACAAACAGCATTAGTCAGAAGCGTCACATCACAAATGCATGCCTCATGGACTTGAACAAAATGTGTTTTGGGACAGAATTTTGAGAGAGAGCTTGGATAGTCTGGTAAAGCACATAAAGCTTAAGAATGACCATCTCATTCTCACTGTCTTCACCTGTCCACACAGGTCTGATGTTATAACCCTTTAATCATCTTTGTGGGGTTCTGCCGAGCCTCCCCAAGGTTCCCACACTTCTCATTAGTGGATCAGTGGGTATCCTTGCTAGAGACTGACTGATGCTGGGTACAATGGCACGGTTGTTCTTGCTGACCACACATCTGTTTATACAGTACCGTGATTGTTTCTTGAGCAAACAAAAGCAAAGACAGTGGTAAGTTGTTTCCCTACTATCAGCTTATGACCTACCATAACACTTCAGATGTTTCAAGTTATTGTTATTATACTTCTCTAGCTCTTACCTATTTTATATCTATTTGTGTGTTTTTCCTAGCTAGGTGGAATCCTGCACTTTTAATTGAGTTTTAATCGTTCCTTGAAATTTTGATATTTGTACTTCTTCTGGGTGACCTAAATTCTGATTTTACTGTCTGAGATTAAGCTTCTGTTATTTTGCCCAATCTTGGAGAGCAATTCATTCCTTCCTTCCTTCCTTCCTTCCTTCCTTCCTTCTTCCTCTTCCTCTTCCTCCTTCCTTCCTTCCTTCCTTCCTCCCTCTCCTCCCTCCTCCTTCCTCCTTCCTTCTTTCCTTCCTTCCTGGTCTTCCTTCTCCTCCTTCTTTCTTTCCTTTCTTCCCTCCTTCCCTCCCTCTCCCCCTCTCCCTCCCTCCCTCTCCCCTTCTCCCTCCCTCTCCCCCTCCCTCCCTTCCTTCCTTCTTTCTTTCGTTTTTTTTTTTAAATTGAGACAGGCTCTCACTCTGTCACCCAGGCTGTAGTGCAGTGCTGCAATCATGGCTTCCTGCAGACTCATCCTCCCAGGCTCAAGTGATCTTCCCACCTCAGCCTCTTGAGTAGCTGGGACCACAGGCCTGTGCCACCATGCCCAGCTAATTTTTTGTAGAGACGGGGTTTCACCATGTTGCCCAGGCTGGTCTTAAACTCCTGAGCTGAACCGATCCACCCGCCTCCCAAAGTGCTGGGATTACAGGTGCGAGCCACAGAGCCCAGCCAATCAATATGTTCTTTACACACTATTGATTTTTTTTTCCACAAAATTTCAAATTACATTGATGATGACTATCATTGGCAGACTATTTCCTGCTCAGAAATAGATTTTCTAACCTTGCTTGAGTAATAGGATACTCTTGGCCAAACCAGGAACCATCGTATTTTAGCAAGCCCTTGCTCTTCAACTGAGATATTCCTTTGAACCCTTTCAACTCTTGCCTGGTATTTTGTGGGGTATGGAATATTGATCATTACAAAGCTCAATGTATTTGGGTTTATTGTGAAACTCTAAGAATTTTTTTTGCTCTGACTTTTGTTTCCTGGAAACACACAGCAGCAACAAAAACAAACACAGAAAGTTTTATCTTCTAGTAAGAACTATGAGAAGTATTTTCAGGAAAGATTGACTCTGCAATTCTGCCACAAAACTCAGTGATGTGATTATGCATCACCAACAAGCAATGAAAAACTTTTATGGGAAAAAAATGTGTAGTGTCAATTTCCAACTTTTGGTCAACTGAGCTGAAAAGAATTAATGGATGTATTTATCTGAACAGGATTTAATTTGAATGCGCAATTAGCCATAGATTACAGCTCAAAAAAAGTGTGTGTACTTAAAAGGAAGCTTATGTGAATTTTTTTTGAGCCTAGTGAACATTATGTGTGCTGTACAATATATAAAATAACATCATCGTTACACATTAGAAATAAAATGTGAGAAACCAGATGCCTATTAAGACACAAAAATTGATGTAAAACTATGATGTTGAGTTTTGGATAATAGCCCAGATGTTTCAGAAAAGGAATTAATGAATTTTGACATATTTCCAGATAATTGAAATTAGCCACTATTTCCCCCAGGTTGTTGGGATCCAAGCATCCTTGTTGCCATGGATAATATATTTTATTCCTTAACAAAATGTAGTCAGGTGACTTGAATAAAAATATGACCCAGAAATTATTATGAAAATGTCACATAAGCAAGTTACTTTCTTTCTCCTAATGATCACACATCTGAGTCTTTACTCAGAATTAGGATATAATGACTCTTCCTCTCGTTTTTTGTAAGCTTTGAAGGATTTTAAACAATAAATAGTTTGAAAAGCTGAAATCCAGAAGTGTTTGGGTTTTATGACTTTAATGAAGTAGTGAGTCCTATGAATCAGTTTAAGATTATGTTTGGGCAAATTAGCTTTGAGACAAATTTTTAAAATGTCCATCACTGCTGCCAGGATTGGCTTTTGCACTTGAAGGCCAACACATCTGGACTTAACATTAGATGTCATGCAAAATCGCATGGTTCAGGCCTAAATTAGGGCTGGTGAACTGATTTTTTTTTTTTTTTTTAGACGGAGTCTCGCTCTGTCGCCCAGGCTGGAGTGCAATGGCCGGATCTCAGCTCACTGCAAGCTCCGCCTCCCGGGTTTACGCCATTCTCCTGCCTCAGCCTCTTGAGTAGCTGGGACTACAGGCGCCCGCCACCTCGCCCGGCTAGTTTTTTGTATTTTTTAGTAGAGACGGGGTTTCACCGTGTTAGCCAGGATGGTCTCGATCTCCTGACCTCGTGATCCGCCCGTCTCGGCCTCCCAAAGTGCTGGGATTACAGGCGTGAGCCACCATGCCCGGCCTGGGTAACTCATTTTATAGTGGATGCCTTTCTTTAGCCAGTGTGAACGTTCAGAGTCATGCCCTCTTTCTTTGGGGCCTTTGATTCATGTATGTCTTGGTCTCTCCCCATAAAGCTCTATGCTTTGGAAGAACTCATTTTTCATAAAAATTTAACCTTGATTCTGGGAGTTTGCATTTCCATGCTTGAACTATGAAGCCACCCACCCCATATCTGACCATTTTCTTTCAGTTTCCTCTTGGCTCATCCTACTGCATGATTTCTCTCTTGCTTCTCCTGTAGGAGCACCTCCCTGCTCCCTGAATCCCCCAGAAAAGTACCTCTGGAGAGCTCCTGGTTCTCCACTTGAAAGCTGCGTTGGTAGGCTGTGACGGGGCAGGCATGGCCTTGTGAAGGGCACTCCTGCCTACACGATCTGTAGAGAATGCAGAGCTCAGGGACAATGTACAGCAGCAGGAAAACCCATGCGTTGGTGACCAGGGCAATGCAGACGACCGGGTCGTCCCACTGGGGCTGTCGCTGGAACTGCGGGTTGCCTCTCAGGAGCATGGAGATCCACACCACCCAGATGATGATGGAGAAGAGTACAGTGATAAAGATGAGTCTTCCATGCTGCTTCCAGTTCTCACATGGGCCACAGAAGGTGGCTTTGGAGACGAAGAACGTGAGGGCCATCAGGAAGAGGACATAGACCAGGAGTACAACAAAGTCCACATTGAGCTGGCAGGGTGTCATGTGCACAAACATCATACCTCTGGTCATGATGAGAGTCACATACTCAATGGCAATAATCACCTGCAACAGACTGCAACCAATAGCAATGCACAGAATTGTCGTCCAGGAGAAGGAGACGCGACCCCGAACCAGCTTCACTAGGTTGGAGGCATGGGCTAAGAGGCACGAGAAACAGAGAGCAAAGAGAACCCCGAAGAGAAAGTAGCGTACGGGGGCAGTTTGCTGATTGAGCTGGATGATGAAGGCAAAAGCGAGTCCAAAGAGCCCCAGCACACTCAAGAGGAAGAGGAGCTGGGTGGGGAGGACATTCCACTGGCTGCAGTCTTGGATCTTTCGCATGAGGAAGAGAAATGCTAAGAGTAGCAGAATTGTGACCACGATGCCAAGTATTGCCAGGGACTCCAGAACGATGCCCCATGGCCCCTCAGAGTCACAGAGGAGAAAATAGTCTCCAGTGGACTCGATGCAGTCCTTGTACATGGTGACTTATGGGTGTAGACCTCACCAGAATGGTTTTCTGATGCCCTGCAGAAAAAGGATGAGACAAAATGACAACTCTGCATCTCTTAGGTTGGTGCAAAAGTAATTGCAGTTTTTGCTATTAAAAGTAATGGCAAGAAGGCTGGGCGCAGTGGCTCACTCCTGTTATCCCAGCACTTTGGAAGGCTGAGGTGGGTGGATCACTTGAGGTCAGCAGTTGGAGACCAGCCTAGCCAACATGGTGAAACCCCGTCTCTACTAAAAATACAAAAATTAGCCAGGTGTGGTGGTGCACACTTGTAATCTCAGCTACTCAGGAAGCTGAGGCAGGAGAATCGCTTGAACCCAGGACAGAAATCGCCCCACTGCACTCCAGCCTGGGTGACAGAGTGAAACTCTGTCTCAAAAAACGAAAAACAAGGCAGGGTATAGTGGCTCATGCTTGTAATCTTAGCACTTTAGGAGGTCGAGATGGGTGGATCACTTGAAGTCAGGAGTTTAAGACCAGCCTGGCCAATGTGGTGAAACCCCATCTCTACTAAAAATACAAAAAAAATTAGCCGGGCATGATGGCATGCACCTTGTAGTCCCAGTTACTTGGGAGGCTGAGGCAGGAGAATCGCTTGAACCCAGGAGGCAGAGGTTGCAGTGAGCCAAGATTGCACCACTGCACTCCAGCCTGGGCGACAGAGTCTGAAAACAAAAACCAAAAACCAAAAAACACATAAAAAAAGTAATGGCAAGAACCGCAACTACTTTTGCACCGACTTAATACCTACAAGAATGCCTATAGGGTGGTCCATGAGGGCACTCTAACATCTGTCATTCTGAAATGAAGACACCTGGGCATACGAAATAAATGTCTTTACCAAAATTGTTCCTAGGACACTGTCGAGAGCCTGAGTTACATTTTGTTTGATTCCTGATACTTATCTAAATGCTAAGTTTCCCCAGGGGAAGAAAATTCAAAGATATATGCAAACATAGTCTAACGGGATGGGAAATGCCATTACACATATTACCCCAAATGTATAACAGTTTTATATAGGATGTCAGTAAAGGAAATGAGAAAGGCAACCTAAACCCCTCAAAACGATCTTGGCTTCATCCTGCTGGGAAAAGCTGAACAGACTTCACTTGATAATATGTCTATTTGTGTATACTAAATTACAAGGCTTTTTGAAAGCTAACACAAAATCTTTTTCATAAAAGGAGGTGTATGAGAATGTTTGCATGATTGACGGAATTCAGTTATATCAGGCTCCAGAACAAGGACTGCCAACATCAGTGGATCATTGGATCGTTCTAGACACTGATGCACTGCTTGAAGGAGACAGGCAGATGAATTACTGGGAATAAAATTTCCCAGTAATTTTAATGACTGTTCCTTCTTTCAGTTCAATTCAAGTCAATCCAATGCAACAGGTTGTATTTAAACACCTATTATTTGTTCATCAAAGAATTGTACAAAATGGTCCCTTTCTTTAAATACCTTTTTGAACAGTTTAGTGGGAAAGTCCATGTCTTGACTGAGGACTGAGGTGGCCCAGGAAAAAGATCCCACATACTCATTTGAAAAAAAAAAAAAATCTGTTGCCATTGAATACCCCTCAGCTCTATGCCCCTTCAGTTATCCCCAGACCAGATGGCTGGAGTGACCCAGGTTTACAGCTGAGGGCATGGCTCCCCAATTCCAACTTACCTTCTCCGTGTCCACTCTGGAAGCTTAGGCTGTAGTGTTGGTGAGGTTGTAACTGCCAATGAGTAAGAAAGAGCCAACCTGAGCTTCTTTAATCTCTTCCCAAATGGGCGGAAGGACTGTAGGCTCTCACTGAGGTTCCTGCAGTATCTATAAAAAGAACCGGAAGGACAGAAAGACACACCTATTCCAGTTTCACAGCAACTTTTCTACAGAGATTTCTTTGGTGAGAACAATTCTTTTTCATTCTACTTCTGACCAGAGGCACCTTGGCCTTAGGGAGCGGGTGTAAATCTGAAAGTGGGTATAAATCTAGGAAATACGGCTTCCTCCCAGTGTATTGCAACATATTCAGGGAAGCTACACAAGGCCCTCAGGTGACTTACACCAGGATACCTCGTCCTTCTTCTGATGTATTTCCTAAAAAGCTATCTGGAGACTTTCCCACATCTTGATTTTGTTTGTTTGTTTGTTTGTTTGTTTTGAGATGGAGTCTTGCTCTGTCACCCAAGCTGGAGTGCAATGGCGCGATCTCGGTTCACTGCAACCTCTGGCCTCTCGGATTCAAGTAATTCTGCCTCAGCCTCCCGAGTAGCTGGGACGGGTTTCACTATGTTGGCCAGGCTGGTCTCAGACTCCTGACCTTGTGATCCGCCCGCCTCAGCCTCCCAAAGTGTTGGGATTACAGGCATGAGCCACCTCGCCTGGCCCCTACATCTTGATTTTAATTCAAAAGAGCATCCATTCAACGAAGTACAGGTAATGAGGGTTTCACTGGGCCATAAGGAAGGGTGGTTTTGCCTACTACTGGCATTAAAACGGCCAGTGACAGGCACAACTGTGAATCAGTCTGTGAATTTATCCCAAGATAAAGAACTGACAATTAAAGGTCACTGGCTGATACTGGAGTACATATTCCTTTTCTCCTATGGTGACACAAAATACAGCACAGCATAGTGTCCAGCCTACACCCACCAACCACGCCCCTGCCACCTCCAATTTACTCCTTGATTCTCTTCCTGAATAAATGTTTTTTTTTTTTTTTGAGATGGAGTCTCCCTCTGTCACCCAGGCTGGAGTGCAGTGGCGCGAACTCGGCTCACTCCGTCTCCTGGGTTCAAGCGATTCTCCTGCCTCGGCCTCCTGAGTAGCTGAGATTACAGGTGCATGCCACCACTCCCAGCTAGTTTTTCGTATTTTTGGTAGAAACGGGGCTTTCTACCCCATTGGCCAGGCTGGTCTCAAACTCCTGACCTCAAGTGATCCGCCTGCCTCTGCCTCCCAAAGGGCTGGGATTACAGGTGTGAGCCACCGCACCCGGCTCCTGAATATATGTATTTCGATAGAGGACTGCTGAAGACCCCAAACCAGTGTCTGGTTTCAAGGTGCTTGTGATCTGGCTCTACCTTTCTTACCCACCTGTACTTCCTTCACGTCTCCAGGCTCCATGACTTAGCCCGCTTGGTTTTTCCTCTGGCTCACAAAAAAATTAAGTTCTCATCTGCTCACCTCTTAGGTGCTGTCGCTGTCTGAAACTGCCTTTTGCTTGATTCACGTTTATCCTATTTTTGACCCAAATTCTTTCCCTCCCTGTAGGATTTTGTTCATCTTATCTCCTCTATGACTCTTCCTGCCTTCCCTCATCATTCTAGCCCTCGCTGATCACCTTCCACCAGGAACTCTACAAGACTTGGGGTCTGTTCTGTTCAAAATTACAGAAACCCTATTTTCTGCCTATTAGTTAACTTACGAATACATATTAGATAATAATGAATTGAAACAAATGAATAATAAATGAGAAGTGCCTTGATTCATGTTATTTGAATTAATCTCATCTCCTGATTGGATTTATAGCTGCCTGGGGGTCAGGTTCCACATTTTATGTTCCCATAGTACCTGCTCCCATGTGGAGAACCTCCTGGGTGATGGATAATTCGATTAATGGAATAATTCTAAAGATAAAATTCCAGATCTTTCAGAAGGTCCTTTTAGCTGTGTGGTTTTTCAACAGATGTGTATTAATGGAAAATACCTGCAAATAAGTCAGAGACTTAACAAACCCTTGACAAAATCATTCTGAAGTGGTGCTCTATCTTTTTTGTTTTGTTGTTTTGTTTTGTTTTGTTTTGTTTTTTGAGACGGAGCCTTGCTCTGTCGCCCAGGCTGGAGTACAGTAGCCCAACCTGGGCTCACCGCAAGCTCCGCCTCCCGGGTTCACGCCATTCTCCTGCCTCAGCCTCCCGAGTAGCTGGGACTACAGGCGCCCGCCACCATGCCCAGC